GACGCAGTTTCTCCACATGGTCCGAAGAAACCGTCCCTCGTCTATTCACCTCGCTCATTAGACCAATCCTTGAATACTGTGCCCCAGCTTACCATCCGATAACCCAATGGGAAACTGAAAAGCTGGAGAAAATACAGCATATCGCAGCTAGAATGATACCAAGTCTACGAAAGCTTCCGTATGAAAAACGTTGTGAAAGGCTCGGACTCTACACACTATCCTATCGCCGAGTAAGAATTGATCTTATTATGACCCATAGAGTACTACACTTGAATCATTTCCCCATACTGCGGCCAATATTTCACCTGCGAGAACCTTGTAACACCCGAGGACATCCGTACAAACTCAGGGTCACCAGCATGAACAAAGTATCACATCAGCTTTGTATCGAACGAAGAATCGTAAACTTATGGAATACACTACCAGAAGGATTAATAGAGGCCGATTCTGTGAAGTGTTTTAAAACCCGTATCGACGATTATTTTGGAAACCTGTGCTTTTATGAAACGATGCACATACAGTGCCAAAAGAAGACAATGTATGTCCGGAAATAATGACGCTGGTACAAATTTCTAACCGAACACGGATAAACGATTAACGGACCAGACACAACTGCTGATAATTCAAAAGTAGATTTTGATTTTTCGTAATTCGATAGAGTTGCACAGAAACCTTTCTACTTGCTCTTAACTACAGTCTCAGTCTCAGGTAGGCACCTTGTCAACATGCACATAAAGCAAGGCACACCGGGGATATCAAGCAACAGCCAATCACTTGAAATGACAAGCTGAAATAAAATAAATCGGACAATGCATACAGATACGGAAACATAACTCTTCACTAAATGGGCGTATAAAGAATGAATACGAACGAAGTCGCGATAAATTCAACAGGTTAGAAAATATATTTTAAAGAAATGCCACAAACGCGGAAATGTTATCCAAATTAACTACAATGAGCTTCAGCGACGTGTGCAGGTTCATAGAAGAGAGTACAGGTAGACATTAATATGAGGAAGAAAATCTTCATTATACAATTGAAAACGCACCACCTGAAATAAACACGATTTTCTGACCCGATTTAAACCCGCTGCATATTTTCCATGGGGCTGTTTGAAGAGAAGGGTTAAACATGGTAGGCCGTATTCTCTCGACCAGCTGAAACATAGTATTGTGCATGAATGTCACACCATCACACCACTGGAACTTGTTTAATGTGCGTACCAACTGCATCAAGCCTTTTCTTTACTGCAATGCTACTCATGTTCGTTTAACTCTGCTTCTTTTATAATACTTATCCGTGAGTATAAATGAATTAAAGGCTACATCGGGCCACACGCACATGCAGCACCTCACCGCACGCCTCACCGTTACAATGATTTTTAGTAAGATCGATCTGGTTCTCGCCTGTCATCAGACACATGTCAAAGGAAAAAACAATGCTAAAACCGCCACCATCACATCTTTCGGCTTGTTTGAATTTTCAAGAATGCCTTTTGAACTGTGCAATGCCACACAAACGCGCCAACGCTTTGTCAACCATGTCGCTTTTGGTATAGATATCGCCAATCCATACCTCGACGATATTGTAGTCTCGAGTTCATCGGAACAAAAGCACTTCGGCCATCACCATTCCCTCTTTCAGCGCTTGACCCAGCATGGCGTCACCGTCAACCCGACTAAGTGTGAACTCGACAAGTCTACCACAACATTCCTAGGTCACCTCGTTTCATCGTCGGGTATCTAAGTTCTTCCTGATAAGATCCAGGAGTTTAAGGATTTACAGCTCCGACCCCATTCAAGCCCCGCCGTCGGTTTTATGGTTTGGTCAACTACCCTCGACGCTTCATTCCTAGTTGTGCTCAGCACATGCAGCCTTTGCTGATTCCCTTTTCAGTACTTGTAGTCTGAACAATCTACGTTGGGTCCAGCTGCCTCCAACTTCTCTACTTTCCCCTTTTGGACACGTCTCTTACGTGTTATTGTTATCGACTGGCATCTTGGGCACCATTCAACAAGCTCATTTGATGAGCTACATGGTCGGAAAAGCATGGGGTCCTGTTCTTCCTCTCCTGGAGTGTCACAGGTAACTTGATTTTCTGAAATACTCATGCAACGCTACAGTGTGCCTTACCCCGTAGCCTATTCTCACGTTATCATGTTGTTCACTTGGGACACGATGGTGTCCTCGAGATCATCAGCCGTCTAGCAATCGCTCGAAGCACCATTGCTAATCACCGACGCCTGTGGCACCTACGGAACATCACTTTCGCCCTGAAATTCAGACGGTACAGTGCAACCGTTAGTCCAACCCTAACGCCGTGCTGAGTTCCGAAGGGAGATGAACACGTGAGTTTGGATACGTATATTTAACTGGACGGGCTTAAACGGTGCTATAAGCATCAACGTAGCAGCTGTTCAAAGTGGCCACCGGCGTTCTGCTTGCAGTGCAGAAATCGCCTGAGACGATTGGCAAAAGTTACTCCAAGGTTTCCGCGGTGGTGGTTCGACATTCGTTCACGATATTCTCTTTCAAGTGTTCCAATGAATTCGGCCTTTACTTATAAACACTCCGTTTTAAACGACCCCATAAGAAGAAATGCAATGGGTTCAAATCCGGTGACCGGGAAGGACACTCCGTTGGTCCGCCCCGACTGATCCATCGGTGGCTAACAATCCCGCTCAAATGATCAAGAACCGTTTGGGCATAATGCGCAGGTGCGCCATCATGTTGACGTCAAGTGGTACTGGCTAACCCATCGGCCTCCAACTGAGGAAGTACGCAAGTGTGCAACATTTGCTTATAAGACGACGCTATGAGAGGCAGGGGATTAGTAAGGTACAATAAACAACCTACCGGTCGCATTGCTGGAAAAGCAAAATGGGCCCACGATTTATTCGATCAGTTTTGCAGCCCAAATCATGACGCTTGAACTAGGTTGCGTACGTGAGGCTCGTTACAGTGGTGGATTACATACTGCCCAATAATATTGCTTCTCGATTTGATTCAAATGGAACGCAGATTCATCGGTAAAAGTAACGGAATGGATATCCATGTGATCCAAACACCAGCAGCCAACTGCACGCCGTGTCACCATGTCGTAGGGGCTTAGAACTTGTACTTGAAATTCATCATATCGACGCTATTAGTTTTGCTTCAAAATCCGCTGAATAGAGTAACTGGTAGTGCCACAATGCTGCGCGATTGTATTGCTGCTGAGCTCGGGTCTTTCGGTTACTTCGCGGTTAACATCGCTAGCCGAAAACTCATTCACACTGGTGCGAGGCCGAATAGTTTTGCTGGCGTTGCAAACACTATCAGTTTTTCAAACTTTGCACCAGTTTCAGTACGTAACAGCCGCATTCTCGCGTCCATGTTGTTCTATTGTCGGGCCGTTTCTGCAGCGTTTAAACCGCACGGCCTATACAACCGTCCAGTCAACACGCGCTGATCAACAGCCACGCATTGTAACTCCGGTCTCTCAGACGTCACCGAGGAACCTGCTTCATCGTGATCCATCTCTCAGACACTTTTCCGAAACTGCAACCATGCTCTGCAGTAACCTGGTTTGGCCTGCTCAACCAAATACTGCTGAGTCGACAGAAAATACTATCGATCATCGTCGTCGCACTTTTCATATCCATCCGCCATCATAGCGGTCGATTAGCCTAACGTGCGCCTGTCCGTCCACACCCAGTTGTCCGGCGGTTATTTCGGTGGTCTGAAGAACAAAGTTCATGTACACCTTGGGGTAGGGAGTCTGCACGCGCTGTGCTGTTATTTGCATAACCCGTTGCCATGAACGGCTTTCGGCCCCATATTGTCAACCTACCTTTACTGTTTGTGCGGAATGTTTCATCTTTCCCCGAGATTGAACGATAGCCTGTACTCGGCTAAGTGCATATCGGACGCAAAGTGCTTCCTATCGATTGTAAGGCTATCGCATCCTCAAGTTACTTTGGGTGCAATAAATGCTGGCATGCCTGTGACTGAGTTTGTGCTGCGAACCTTCACTTGTCATGCCATAGCTCGTTTTCTACCCTTCGCTGACATGCATGCATTTCGTCGAGACGTGTGCAGGTTGTTACCACTTGATTTAATCAAGAATCGATTGTTTCGGTCCAGCTTGGCTAACATAGCTTACTTGACACTGAATGTCCGGCGGAGTCCACGCGATCGTGTGGACATTCATTGACAAATAAGGCTTGCTTGCTGCCCTGCACCGAAATTATCGATTCTTCCACGGGCCTATGTGGTCTCGCTGTGCACATCCCACGTCGGAAGGCATGCTTGCCATGGCTTCGCACGCGATCGTGTGCTCTCAAACCTAGGCACAGGCATGCGAGAATTTTCGCTACTCATCCTAAATTACAGATTGAATAAACCGGACAAGCGTTATGGACGCTGGTGTTTCCTATATGCGCTTAAGTGTGTTCGTAGTACATGAGTACTATTTGCTTAGGACAACTGAGTGTGAGTTGTCTGTTCTACACTAGGTGGTCAATCCCCCATCCGAAATTTCCGTGAGCCATGTAGCATGGATCGATTGATGAATACACCTCACACTGTGCATACTTGCTCTGCTTGCCGGTTTACGGTCCATGAAACTTACTTGCTATGAATCTTTGTCGTTAATGCTGACATTCTTTCTCTTTTTCTGTTCAAAGCTACCTTTGTGTCTACATACAGTCTTTGTTTCAATCGCTCCTGTTGTCTCTTATACTCTACATGGATTAAGAGAACGGGATGCATGGCACTTTGGTGGGCTGTTCTCACAAAAGGCCAATAAAGGTCGGAACCAGGAGATGGGGTATATTTTTGCGTTTTTGCTTTTTTACCAAGGTTATTACCTCTGTGGTGGAACTTGTTGATAGCCATTTGTTTTGAATTTTTGAAGAGCGTAGTCAGGAACAGGAATGCCAAGGGGTTTGGGCCCGCAATGTTTTGAAAACGTGGGGCCGATTGTGTAACACGGACCAATTATGGATAAGAACACTAACCGTTAAAATGAAGGTAGAGGATATCGTTCAAATGTGGCGTTTGGTATAGCTTGTGCTTAGCACACTGCTTCTTCAAAAATTCTTTGGTCATTCTGTAAATTAAGGAGAAATGTTAAGGGTAGAAGGATAAACCTGCAAACCTGGTCCAAAAAGCGTTTTCTTCAAGGCATGATACATCCAATGCTGGTTACAAGACATCTTAGTAAAGTACTAAACAACCAAACCTCGCGCGAGGTATTTGCGAAGCATATAGCGTCTAAATAACTTGAAGAACTTCACAGTGAGCGTGTGCCTTTCACATGCTTGTCTTGCGGGAACTGATGAGATTATACTAACCAGGGTGTATCACTGTCAGTGCCATCGATAACGGAAGTTCAAGTGTTACGCAGGTAAAATAAGCCCAAATTGGTTTAATTACAGGTAAACAAAAACCAAACCCTACCAGTCTTCAAAACGCTGTGTGGATTCACAGCACTGGCAAGGGGAAGTTCTCACCCGGACGGTCAAACACTGTCCTATGCACTGCCAGTAACCTGCAGAACCGTGGAGGATGAGTAGGGGCCATATCGCAGTTAAATTTCAGATAGTGATGGCCGGCCTAAGGTCCCGCATGGCTGTTTCATAAATCGTCCGCTAGTAGTGCAAGCCACTAAGGCCGTGAGTTCGATCCCGAGTAAGGGACCGAGGGAATGCGCACAAGTGACGAGTCCCAATATGACGAAATGTACTTGTGCTGCTTTCCAGGACTGGTAGCTCATCTATGCGGCCTGGAATCCAACTGCGCTGAACCAAATGTAAACATTGAGCCATGTTTGATCGCCAAATGTCGGTAACCAAAAGTATCGAATTAACTTATGGTAATTAGCTCTCCAGCGGCGTTCCGCGGGGAAGCGTCAACGAACTGACATCATCTCACTCATTGTGAGCCCCATGTAAGTCAGTTCACAGATTCGCGGTTACCGAACTATGTAGAAAGAAGCAATGGGCTACATTGTTTGCTGTTCTCATCGTCTTGCGTAAGTTCAAGTTTCTTGAAAATTCAGTTGCACATTGAATGAGTTCGGTATTTCGCAGTAAGTGCGATAATGAACTCATCTCACTTACCGAAGTATAAGTTGGCAATAAGCACTTTCCTTCCTCACAGTAATCACTATCCCGTGAAGTGCAAGGTATTATTATTGTATAATAAACATAGAACCGATCGAGAAGTTGTGAGTTCGGAAAGGCTTGGGTACAGTCCGTTGACTATTGTTATCAAATCTATCTGAACTTCCAATATTATTAATTCATTATGGCGAATAGCTTCTTGAGGTACTGTCATGACTCCTTAAGTTTCCTGTCTCATAAATATCTATTTTATACGATGTTGTACGAGGTTGTCCCTGGCGAGGTTGGCATTTACTCAGATCGAAATCGAAAAGATACCGATTTAAATAACAAGATCTAAATAAATCTAATTGAATGGGAAACATCGGTTACACTTTTTGCTCCCGAGTAGCGTGTTGGCTAGGTGTGTGGATGTGCGGAATGCTACAGTCTACCGAAATTTTAAGCATCCAGTTTCACTCAGACATCCTACACTTCGAAATAATAACTGACTGGCCTCTTTGAGCAATTTATTCCCAGCCGAACCTGTAAAGTATGTTTGTGAACCTTGAGCCCAAATTTGGTTGGCGTGAAAGTTGTGATTTAGCTGTTAATCTGTCATCTTTCAGAAAATTCAACTCTGCACTGCCACTTCCACGACACAGTTCGTGTTGGAATATTTGCAAACTAAACGGGAACTTGCAGCAAAGCCTGAGTTGCCAATGTACAATTATTTCAAGAATCCAGAAGCTTTGGAACAAATTTATCAGCATTGCAGGATGTGGGTGCTTCCCGAACGATGCAAGCCATGGATAGAAGACGATATGTAACTGATAGCTCATGTGACCTTTACGTGCTTACCTTGGTCCCTTAGAACACGGCGGTTCTGGCACTTGTGGCTTTTGTTCTTCTTGACGTCGCGGAATTGTGCTTCCCGGAGGATATGGGAGGTTGGAAAGATCTATATCAAAGATGGATTTTTCACCACCGTCAACTTTGTTTTCGGCAACTCCATTAGCATTATAAACCCCATGATCTTCAGAGGCTGTTTTGGACACAAAGTACTCTGTTTGGCCATCTACACCATTTTGAATTGGCGGATTGACAGTTTCCACAGTAGGTTCCGCATCTAGTTTTGTTTGACGTTTAATTCTTTGTGTGACTTACCAGTCGGTGTCAATTTAGGTGGCAGCTGTGGATCTTGTTGTTCCGATATTGTCTCCTCAGGGTGTGCGTCGGCAGAAATCGATGAGGAGTGTTCCACACATTTGTTGGCGTCGCTGGTCTCGTCCCCACTCTCTGGTCTCCCCATAGGATGAGCAAATGTTGAGAAAAGGCCGCAGCTAATCTGAATGAAAGGCGAAGCAGAAGATAAGGTCCGTTCACAATCGGGATCTGTTGACTTAGCGGCGTGAAATGAACAGCAAATGGAAAGCTTAGGAGACACTGTACTGAACATAGTCAGGTTTGAAGTAAATAAGATTTTGTGAGGCTAGTGACCGCACTGCCCGACCTGGAACTATAAAATGAACGATAGGATGACGGCGCTAATTATCGACATAACAGAAATCATCGGGGTAATGTGATATACATGCACCAGGCTTCGATGGCTGGGCCACGTTTTGCGCATGCCGGCACACAGACTCCCGCGATGTGCAGTGTCTGTGTGACCGGGGTCTGGATGGAAGAAGAGAAGGGGAAGCCAAGCGATGTCTTGCTCAAGACAAGTAAACCCACACTTCGAAACAGGCTTCGGTTGATATCTCCCGACCGACGAACTAGGGTATAACAGACGATGTACACTTTTGGCTGGACACGCTTGCTGATATGGCATTTGCGTCGTGAGTTTCTTTGTCCACCCCTCCCTTTTAGATTCCCCTCCAATTGCGATTTCATATGAAAAGCATAATAGAACATTTACCATCATAGTACTTGCTTTAGATTCCTTTTTCTGGTACATGTGTTTAATGTCTTATCTTTTTATATTGCGGCACATAAGCTGAGGTGTTTTTCTCACCCTCTGCTAAGATGTATTGATGATGAGGATGATGGTGATATACCGCAGTGGAGTGTTGCTGCAGAAACTTCAGCAATTGTACGAAACTCCCATGCAAGTAACCACCGCATATCAGAAAAAGGCTGGACTGTAATTACGGTCTTCCAAATCTACCAGCCGTTCGCAGTTACACTTTTTGAGTTAATCTTGCATGTTGAAGCTTAGTCATGTATTTGTGTCGCAGGAGGATGAGCGATGAAACACTGTGTCCAGGCATTACACACAGCTTACACAAAGTAAATTATTTTCGCACAACAATGCGCACTTTATGTTGAATAAATAGTATATTTAATATAATGGTACACCTTAGACAAATCTCGGTACGTGCACTATATTGACTCATCCATGGTCCGGCAATCCTGCTTTTGCGGCCAGGGGGAAGACTATCTGCAGAAGAAGCCACCACGAAGAACTCACCAGTAATCACATCAGAAATCCCCTACTCATGATTATAACAAAATATTCACTCTGTCAGTTGTTAACCGCTACGTCCTACATAGGTATTGTCAATGGGAGTCGTGTCTTTCCGGGCCAACCCTGTCCTCTGCAATGTTCGTAACTCGCATGGCAGTGGCGGACAAGACACGATGTATCACAGACTGTTAGTAAGCCATGACGGTCCGCTGTTGACTATCATAGCTCAGTGGCATAACGTACTTGTTTGTGGCGCATGTGGCTAATGTTCATGGGTCCGGATACTGGTGGAGCCGATGGATGTGCATTAATAACAAGCCCGGATTGCAGGAAACGACTGTTTAGTGCTCTTCCGAGAATTTTGAGCACTACAAGCTTTTGAAGCTATGGCGAACCCTTTGGTAAGTAACATCAAACTACCCTTACTCACGAGAAAAGTTGGATAAATTCGGTTGTTTGATAACGGCCAACTCATTTGCAGATGATTATTATTGGGTTGTTAACAAAGTTATTACTGATTTTAATCCCATAGTTTGAATGCACATACATTGGCTCAAAGGTAACGCTTTAAACCGAAATAAACGTTATTTGAACTGACACACGTTTACCAATGGGAAACTATTTTATTCATGCCGGATGAATAAAGTACTGGAGTTCTGGTGGCCATGAATTCGCCGAATGCGGTTCCAGTATCCCCTTGGGTTCAAAAACATTTTTCTCAGAGGAAGTTATGTTGTGGTTAGAAAAAGCAATAATGGTAGACGACAGATCAGGGGAGTATGGTGGTCAAGGCAAAGTTTCGTAGCGAATCTCGTTCAGCTTCTGTTCGGGTGTTTGTGTGACATTCCCTAGCGTTATAGTGGCGAAGAAGTAGCCCCTTTCCGTTGATCAGTGCCGGACACGTGTTGAGATTTTCAGTACATTTCGGTAAATAGTTGACAGTATTTCTCCGCTATAGCGATGTTGCCTGGACGCTGAAATTTGTGAAGGATCAACCCAGCCGCGACCAACAATCAGTCACTAAAACCATTTCTAGACGCAATTTCGACTTTGGACAGTGTTGTGGATCTTGATCGTGGTCCAACCACTTTTCCTCACACGTTACATTTTGGTAGAAAACATTTCATTTTTATTGCGTAGAACAATGGCAGTTGACAAAAGTTTCGAGGGACTACTGTAATGTGCCGGAAAACACGCACTTTCAGTATTTTGTAACATTGGATTTTACGGTTGTTTTAACCTTCAAAACGTCTACTTGTTTTACTGACAGCACATCCGTGGACACGAATCGTTTTGGTGAGTACCTTGCCGCGCCGTTTCTCGCTCTGGTTGATTCGCTTCCTACTTTTGTAGCCTGCACAATATGCGTTGGGTTCCGTGGCCTCCAACTTCCATACTGTCCCGTATTTGACAAGTCTCTTACGTGTCACTGACTACAGAATAGTATCCCAGGCTCCACCCAACACCACCCCGCATAGAAGCAGGTCCCCAGGAGTCGGTTCTAGCGATAGCCGTATTAATTACGTTGTGCATTTCTCAATATCTAATTTCATCCTACTTTCAAACTCTCCTTCTTTTTATCATTTCTACCTATCCAACTCCTCAGAAACTTGATTTGAAACTGTTCTGGAATATTTGAAAGAACATCTGCACTTTGAGATCATGTTGTACTAAATGGTCAGTACAAGTAGTTGGACAGTAATCGGCACAGTAGCGAAATATAAGTTATGCTTTTCATTCGAATTATGCAGCACTCAGCAAGCATTTTGACATTCCAATCTGTCTTGCCTGTTTGAAAACTGTCACAAGCGACACTGTTAATTAGGAAGTAATACCTTGAACAATTTTATGATGATCCGTTTCAACTAATACTTAATTGATCATTGTTCACTTCCGATTTTTGTCCATAATGCTTTTCATCTTCAAACCTCCCATAAGTTTTTGAAATGTAAGAAAACAACATTGTGCAGTTTGGTCATTAGTGGTTCCAGGACAAAATGCACTGCCGATGTGACGAGTTGTTTCCGTTGCCTTTCGACCAAGTTTAAAGTAAAATAAGAAATACGCAGGCATTTGTCCTATGTTTAAGTTGCATTAAATGTTATGTAAAATCATGTTTCCTGGCTAAACTATCACTACTGATAGACAGAGCTAGAAACGCGCTTCGAAATGATGTATAATGTTATGGGAATGTGCACAAAAGTTATTCAAAAATAAAGCTGGTAGTATTAAAAAGAAAAACCACAATAATTGTAGTAACAACCTAATAATGTACGCATGTTCATACCTCTTATACTCACGATGAAATTCCACTAGAAGAATAAGTCTGCGTCCAATGGCACAAAGATATGTGCTATCACTTTTGCGCTGAAAAGGATAACGTACAGGGGGTTAGGGTCAACAGCATCAAGATAGATGAAAGTACAATTCGGGTGCCCTACTACAGTGTTGTAACCGGTAGACCGGTCAAAATGATTATCATCTCACAAGTTGACTTACGGCTTAAGGTTGGAAAGCTGTTACTCGGACGGGGGACTGCCTTATATCCTGCATGGCAGTGATATGCAACTCAGTAAAGAACGAGTTGCGCTAAATCGGTAAACTTACTCATGTTTGTGGTTACCGTCCGCAGGTAGGCCAGGGGTCGTAATCATGAATGTTTAAGTGTGGATTGTTGGATCTAATCGCGCATTGATCAGACAGAATGCACACTGCTGGCAATGCGCGAAAGAATGAAATGTCTTCCCAGTGCTTTCCTGGACATCTGATTGCTGTGCCTGACTCCAGATGTGGGGAAGTTCAGCTTACAGAAGAAACATCACATCCTATCATCTCCATCGACTGCCAAACTAGATATAGCTTTAGTGTGTTCTAGATACCTGACATTTCCAGGGTACTGTGAACTAGCAAGAAGCCGCGTTGGTAAGACATGTATACTAAGCAGGTTCCGATGAGCCTATATGCTTTCACATTTTGGTAGGTTCATACAACAAGTTAAATTGTATTGAAGCAGCACCTGGTCAGTTCCTGGATTGATTATTTGTCAATTGATTAGTGCTGGTGCTCAAAGTGTCACAAATATTAAGCTAGTGATCGCTTTGATGGCGGCTACGTTGATTGTATGGTTCGTGAGGGATATGAAACACTCACTCTTTCGGCATTTTGCAGCACTGGATTTTAATGATCCTTGTGCTCAGAGACGTATCAAGTGGGATCGGTCCGCCCTGGGCCGCATGTGACAGGGGCGGAATTTTTACTACCGTTGATCGTTCGATAACAAATATAAACGGTAGAATTTCCAGGTAAGCTGAGGGTTGCATATTTTTATGTTCTTCAGTATGACCAACAACACCTTTGCGCCATGTGTCACACCTGTTTAAAAGTTCTTCCCATCGATCCCCTTAACTGGCCCATTGTCTCCATTCATTGTGCCATTCACCATATTTATCTATGTCCCAAACTATCATTCGTTTCGTCGAGAACATTGCCCTGAGCCGATTGTGTGGCTTTTACGTGCCTATCATGCCCATCAGGGCGAAAGATTTACCACTGCCCCAGGGAGCAAAAGTAGTCGCTAGGCCACTGGTCATGCCTTTTAACCGTCCATATGTTTGACTGACAGTGTATCCCGAACTCTTGCATTTTCCCTGTGTGTCGAACTGCTACGCTGCGCTCGCTTACCTATTGTCCTTTCCATATAGTACTTTGCAACGCAGGTGAGGTCCAAACGCTTTTAGCGTTCGCCGCACTTTTGCACTTGGCACGCATGTTATATGTTGTCGCTCGCGACATGGGGCACACCCTACCACATGGTTGGCGGCATCCGGTTTCGGATTTGCCTGTCACTGTGGCAAGCCACAGGACGCCTGCGCCTACAGAGGGACCATGGGTGGCTTGCGCTTCACCACCCACAGCTCCAACCACACACCCCATATCCAGTGTAAACCCGAAGGAATAAGACCGGGAGGCATGCGGATGGGAACCACGTTTCATCAACGGAGCCGGCCCACACTCCTTCACAGGCAAACACAAGCACACTGTATTTGGGGAATCAAGCGCACACAAGGCGGTGGCTGGACCGTAGTCCGCTTCACACTGACTGCATGGAACCACTCTTCGAGCCTAACACGGCCACAAGGACCGTGCACCCTGTCCCCTCCAGCAACGACCAACTGTCTCCTGGAGCCAGTATGGACGAGGTAGTGGGTAATAGACAGGTAGGCACCTTGTCAACATGCACATCAAGCGCAGCCACACCGGGGATTTCAAACAACAGCCAATCCCTTAAGAGAGAGAGAGAGAAAGAAAAAGAGAAAAACTCGATTAATGCATAAGGAAACGGTGACATAAACCTTAATTAAATAGAATACGTAATAAGTTGTTTACAAACAAATCCTAGCTAAGTGCACGAGGTCAGGAAGTATAGTTCACGGAATGCCACGAACACAAAAATGTTATGGAAATCGAATACAATTGGCTGAAGCGATGTGTGCAAGTTAATGGAATAGAGTACAGGGAGATATTTATATGAGAAAGAAAAGCATTAAGGTAAAAACTGTAAACCCACCACCTGAAATAAAGAGACTTAGCATGCAAGCTCGCGGTTAGTAAATCGAATTCAGCGTGCCTACAAACGCTGTGCCGGCTCGTCGTTATTCTCTGCAGGACCCGTCGTCGCTTCTGTAGTGGCCCCAAATGGCACAGCTCATGGCCCACTAGACATTTATATGAGAAAGAAAGGCATTAGGAGAGAACCGAAAACCCACCACCTGAAATAAAGAGACTTAGCATGCAAGCACGCGGTTAGTAAATCGAATTCAGCGTGCCTACAAACGCTGCGCCGGTGCTGCCTACGTTCACTGCGGGACCCGTCGTCGCTTCGGCAGTGGTCCCGAGTGACCTCTCTCATGGCTCACTAGGCCTACCTGACTAAGGCACTCGCGACCGCATGTTCTACAGCACAATGCGCTCGATGTCGATGGAGTACAATTCATCGGTGCTTGCCGCTTCCGCACTTGCCCCTTCTTCTCTGCATGCATGAGGGCTTTCTCCCGCACCTCAGCAACTGCCTTCGTGATTAAATCGCGCCATGAACCACGATCAACCGCCTTCGATTCCCATGATCTGCAATCAAGATTAGAACGTGTGAGGCTCACTTTAATCATGTCCTGGTAACGTAACTTTGGTTTCCCAGCATGCCGCTTCCCAATACCCAGCTGACCGTATAAAAGTTGTTTCGGTATTCGCGTCGAATCCATACGGCTCACATGACCGAGCCATCTCAGGTGTCTCAATAAAAGTATGCAGTCCACTGCATACATCCCACTTCGGCGCAACACTTCCGTGTCTGCAACTCTGGCGCCCCAGCCGATCCGCAAAATTCGTCGCACACACTGCTGATGGAACCGCTCGAGATATCGCACATCCCGACGGTACATCGTCCACGTTTCACTGCCGTATAGAAGAACGGACAGTACCATGGATTTGTACACCATCAGCTTCGTGCCAATGCTAAGCTGATGGTTGTTCCACACTCGGTACTCAAGCTTCCCGAATGCCGCTGCTGCCTTCGACACGCGAATACGCAACACAACGTGTATCTGTTGATCAGTCGATATCACACTCCCAAGGTAGCAGAAGCGGGAGGTGATTTCCATTACTTCAGCACCAATGCTGATTTGCGACAATATTGAAGATTGCACCTCCGGTGAAGGCTGAAAGAGACAGACAGTTTTGCTTGTGTTGATGGTGAGCCCGAATTTGGCCGCTGTCGAAACCAGAGCATTAGTTATGTGCTGCAACTCATCCGCGCGGTGTGAAAACAACGCACAGTCGTCAGCAAACAGCAACATACGGATAGTTGTCTGTGAGACCCTACCACATACTCTCTAGCTAATCATCATCCGGTGCCTTATTTTTAGCCTTAAGATTTAGTGACCTACTAATAAACATTTTTGGCCTATTTTCATGCGTTCTACCGCAAGCCTTTGGGTGGCCATTCAAATCTGCATCGGATATAGCGTTAGACCAACGCGATACAGTAAGAAGGGGTTTGCATGTGTGTATGGTATGTATGTGACACATGCAAACCACTTACTTCCCTTATACATGGGAATAATATGATTTCCTAGTATTTAGGATTTGTAGCGTCCAAAAAGATAACTCTTATCTTTCATGTACAATTTACTTGTTGACCGATTGTACATTATTTCCTCTTGTTTTAATCGTCCTTACAACCGGCTCGACACACAACAGCCTTGTAAGTTACCGCGCTCACGTGTCCGCTCTCGCCTCGCTTCATCCGTCCGCTTCTTATTGTAGCCAATCGAATACAGTCCGCTGTGTCCGACTCCCATTGCCTTCTGATATCCGCGCTTAATTTCACGCACCGTCTCGGACTAGTATTAGCTAGTCCTACAGATTGATTTACACATCGATTGGGGGAATCTCCAGGTCACTACAGTATCAACCTGTCTCCATGCCGACCCAAATTCTCGCCGGCCAGTAACCTCATACCTTGGATCTCGTGCTCTACCCAGCGCAGTCTGACGTCATGGACCTAACAGTCCGTCAACCCATTGGTAGACGCGATCATTGTACTGTCTTATTTCAATGGACTCGTCACTTCACTATTCACAACCCATGTACCGTCTGCCGAAATTTCTGGCGTGCCAACATTCTTCCTTTTAAAACGACTGCAGGTATTATGGATTGGTGTATGCCAGACCACCTCAATACTGACGGTGCCTGGAATCTTCCGTACTCTAAGTTGACGTCGGTAATTTAACAAGTTGTACCCATCTCCAAAAAGCGAGCACTCTAGTGATCATCCGTGGATCGATTGTGACTTGAGATCCATGCTGAACGGAAGATGGAAGTTGTGGGATTAATTTAGGCCCACACGGTCAGAGCAAGACTACCCCGGTTCTAAAACAGTTAGGAATGCCTGTACCATGAAACAAGGTGAGAAACGTCAACAATACGAACTCTCCCCAGCCACAAGCTCTAGAAAGACTTTTAAAATGTTTTGCTCCTACCTCAAACAGAGCATAAGCTTTGGCAGTGGTATTCCTGCCTTGTTTTCCTGTGAGCAAGGGGATTCAGTTCACGAAGACACAGACAAAACCAGCTTCCTACCCCGGCAACATTATTCAGTGTACTCAACAACAGCACCTTTCTCTGACAGTCCTGTGTGCGCCCTCCCTTCTCTGTTAAGGCACGTCTATATTAACACTGACGTTGTGTTGAAAGTTCTGTGTGATTTGGAGCCTTACTCATCGCCTTGTCCTGACGGCTTGCACCCTTTGCTCTTCAAGACTGTGGCCTAGTACGTTGCCTCACCCATCTCCCAGGTCTTCTGTTAATCGT